GCCCCAATAATAGAGCCTATTGAGGATAATATCATCTTACACCTTAGTCATTATCTCAGCAACAAGGTAACGCAAGAAGCATCAAAAACCGCTGATCTTTAAAACACCTTACTTGAATCATACAACAAACCAAAATATTGTTGTTGGGGATTAACTATAATCTCTTAAGCCACAAGAAAGCCCCAATAAAGCTTATTGAGATAATATCACTTACCACTTAGCAGTAATCTTGAGCAACCAAGTGTAACTGCGCAAAGCACAAAACCGCTTGATCTTTAAAACACTTACTTGAAGTACATACCAAACTAACCAAGAATTCTTGTTGGTTGGGGATTTAACTATAACTTCTTGAAGCCACAAGAAAGCCCCAATAAAGAGCCTATTGAGATAATATCATCTTACCACCTTAGTCACGTTATCTCTGAGGCAACAAGGGTAACTGCAGAAGCACAAACCGCTGATCTTTAAAACACCTTACTTGAAGTCATGCCAACTAACCAAGAGATCTTGTTGGTTGGGGATTTAACTATAACTTCTTGAAGCCACAAGAAAGCCCCAATAAAGAGCCTATTGAGATAATATCATCTTACCACCTTAGTCACGTTATCTCTGAGGCAACAAGGGTAACTGCAGAAGCACAAACCGCTGATCTTTAAAACACCTTACTTGAAGTCATGCCAACTAACCAAGAGATCTTGTTGGTTGGGGATTTAACTATAACTTCTTGAAGCCACAAGAAAGCCCCAATAAAGAGCCTATTGAGATAATATCATCTTACCACCTTAGGCAGGTAATCTCTGAGGCAACAAGGGTAACTGCAGAAACACAAACCGCTGATCTTTAAAACACCTTACTTGAAGTCATACCAACTAACCAAGAGATCTTGTTGGTTGGGGATTTAATTATAACTTCTTGAAGCCACAAGAAAGCCCCAATAAAGAACCTATTGAGATAATATAATCTTACCACCTTAGTCAGGTAATCTCCGAGGCAACAAGGGTAACTGCAGAAACACAAACCGCTGATCTTTAAAACACATTACTTGAAGTCATACCAACTAACCAAGAGATCTTGTTGGTTGGGGATTTAATGATAACTTCTTGAAGCCACAAGAAAGCCCCAATAAAGAGCCTATTGAGATAATATCATCTTACCACCTTAGTCAGGTAATCTCCGAGGCAACAAGGGTAACTGCAGAAACACAAACCGCTGATCTTTAAAACACCTTACCTGAAGTCATACCAACTAACCAAGAGATCTTGTTGGTTGGGGATTTAATGATAACTTCTTGAAGCCACCTAAAAGCCCCAATAAAGAGCTTATTGAGATAATATCATCTTGCCACCTTAGTCAGGTAATCTCCGAGGCAACAAGGGTAACTGCAGAAACACAAACCGCTGATCTTTAAAACACCTTACCTGAAGTCATACCAACTAACCAAGAGATCTTGTTGGTTGGGGATTTAATGATAACTTCTTGAAGCCACCTAAAAGCCCCAATAAAGAGCTTATTGAGATAATATCATCTTGCCACCTTAGTCAGGTAATCTCCGAGGCAACAAGGGTAACTGCAGAAACACAAACCGCTGATCTTTAAAACACCTTACCTGAAGTCATACCAACTAACCAAGAGATCTTGTTGGTTGGGGATTTAATTATAACTTCTTGAAGCCACATAAAAGCCCCAATAAAGAGCTTATTGAGATAATATCATCTTGCCACCTTAGTCAGGTAATCTTTGAGGCAACAAGAGTAACGGCAGAAGCACAAACCGCTGATCTTTAAAACACCTTACTTGAAGTCATACCAACTAACCAAGAGATCTTGTTGGTTGGGGATTTAATGATAACTTCTTGAAGCCACAAGAAAGCCCCAATAAAGAGAAACAAGGGTAACTGCAGAAGCACAAACCGCTGATATTTAAAACACCTTACCTGATGTCATATCAACTAACCTAGAGATCTTGTTGGTTGGGGATTTAATTATAACTTCTTGAATCCACAAGAAAGCCCCTATAAAGAGCCCATTGAGATAATATCATCTTACAACCTTAGTCAGGTAATCTCTGAGGCAACAAGGGTAACTGCAGAAACACAAACCTTGGTTGATTTGATTATTAAGACACCCACCCTGAACACAATCAAATCAGGAGTATATCACTCTTCTATAAGTGATCATTCATTGGTATACTGCAAAGAAAGTGTCCCAAGCCAAGCACCCATTACAAAACAGTGAGATCTTACAAGAACTTGTATCTGAAAAGTTCAGAGCTGATGTCTCACAGCTACCGTTGAAGGATTGTCTCAAAACAAATGACTTAAATGAGGCAGTTAGTAAATGGAATGAGCTTTACACAAATACATTAAATGAGCATGCCCCTTTGAGCAAAGTAAAAGTTAGATCAAAACCAAAACCCTGGTTTACACACGAACTACAGACTCTAATAAACAACAGAGACAATACCAGGAAGAAAGCAATAGCTACCAAATCTGAAATAGTGTGGAAGCAATACCAAGTGGAGAAATGGAGCGTTATCAAGGCTGTGAGAGATGCACAAGACTCCTTCTTTCAAAAGACACTAACAGAATTTAAAAACAACCCTAAACAGATGTGGAACTGCATTAAGCGACTTGCTCCAACAAAAAAGGAAAGTAACCCTCTTCCACCTGAGTGGTTTTTCTCAGAAATTGGAAAGATGACCCAAAATGAATTACAGCCGACTGAACAGAGCTTCCCCTTTCCTTTGGACATAAGATCTAAGCTCTCTTTTAAAACTGTAAATAGTGCTGAGGTAAAAAATTGGCTGCTGAACATCCCATCTAATAAAGCAACTGGTGCCGATAACATTGACATCAAATCTTTGAAAATTGTGGCAGACATAGTGTCCCCATCCATTGCATCCATATTAAACCTGAGCATTGCATCAGCACAGTTCCCTTCGATATGGAAATCGTCATTGATTACTCCAGTCTTCAAAGCTGGAGCTAAAACTGCAATAGGAAATTATCGTCCAGTGTCTGTGTTACCACTTCTCTCCAAACTGATGGAAAAGGTTGTAAATTCACAAGTGGCCCACTATCTGAAAGATAACAATATTCTCACAAAATTTTACTCTTGATTTTGCAAGAATCATTAAACTCAAACTGCCCTCATAAGCATAACTGATAACATTTTGTGTAACATGGACAAAGGCCTTATCACACCCACAATACTGATAGATTTTAGCAAAGCATTTGATAAGCAAACCATTGACCACCTATCGATGCTTCAAAAACTACTAAGGTATGGTTTTGACACCCACTCAATGTTTTGGTTCAACAGTTACCTCCAAAACAGACTTCAGTACGTTAAAGTCGGCAACATATTGTCAAGTGCAGCAAAGGTCCCCTGTGGTGTACCACAAGGATCTGTCCTGGGACCCACATTATTCAACCTGTACATAAATGAGATACCAGCCATGCTTAAGAAACTATCATCTAATGACTCAAATAAACATGGGTATGCTGATGACTTACAGCTATACTCCTCTTGCAAAGCTGAAAAGGTTGAAGAAACGCTCTCTATGTTGAAGGATGATATTAACTTGATACTTGAGTGTTCTCTGCAAATAAGTTAAAGGCAAACCCGAACAAGTTTCAGTTTATCATATTTGACGCAAATAAGCAACTTGTGAAAATTCGATTATCATGTTCAAAAATTGATATTCAGGACAATATAGTTGAAGCTGCAATGGAGGTTAAAATACTTGATCAAACGCATGCAGATTGATCAAACACTTTCTTGGAACAGCCACATCTCACAGCTAAAGAAATTTTGTGCAGGGAAGCTAATAACAAATGAAGCAGATCAGAGACTGTATGAAAAGAGAAACTTTTTCAAAGGTTGTAAAAGCATGTGTACTCTCAAGCGTACAATATGGCGATATTGTTTATGGCAATGCGTCACAATCTCTATGCTTGTACATATTTTCTAGCCTAATCTTATTTAATATAATAAGGACTATACTAACATTTGGTGATATTTACTTATAGGTTCTTGTTTTATTAATTATTTATTTATTTTACTGCCAGTGAAAAACCTATATTATACTTAGGATCTGTGCAATGAATACATTACATTACATTACATCACATTACATTACATTACATTACATTACATTACATTACATTACATTACATTACATTACATTACATTACATTACATTACATTACATTACATTGCATTACATTACATTGCATTACATTACGTTAAATTACAAAATGAAATGAAAGTTAAAAAGAACAAAAAATATCGTCATACTGCAAGGAAAGGTGAGACGATTAAACTTGTCTTGAATGGATGACGTTGTGGAATCGAAATTGTCAAATGTTCATAAGCAGAATTCACTAGTTTTGTTTTTAAAGGCATAATCTTAAAGATTTGCTTTCGCATGTTATTTAGAAATTAATTTTTTTCAGAAAAGAGTAACACACGTATCTTAACATTTGACACAATCGAATTTTGCTATTTCGTATAGGAAGCTTTGTTGCAATATCTGTTTAACTTTTCTTCAATCCATCCAACTTTTAAACAACCATTAAAGCCCAATTTACTTGTGTTTATTGCTGTTTGTTCTCGGCGCGTCGCGGTGTTTCCTATTTTCTACATACTTGTGAAAACCTCTCAGCAAATTATCCATTTAAAATATTTAATATCTAACAGTCTAAATTGAATGTATTAAAGGCTCTTGCGCAATCGGCATGCTTAGCGGCAGCTGTCTTGAGAATTGACTGTGTTTTGTATTTTCATGCAGTATGATATTCAGCTGGTTTTGAAAATATAGTCGCAAAACATACCGGTTGCGCAAGAGCCTTAAATAGCCAACGGTGGGTGTCGCCAAGGCAAGTTGAGTGATGCGGTTGATGCTATTAAAGAGTCTTGAGCGAATTCCTTTGTCCAAAAAGCAATCCTAATGTTACTGGCATCGAAACTTTGCTAAATTTATTGGGGTCGTTCTAAAAATCAACACGAGGAAAAGATTTTTGAAGAAAAGCATTCCTAATATTACCGGCATGAAACTTTGCTAAGTTTATTGATGTCGTTCTAAAAATCAACGAGGGAAGAAGATTTAATGAAGAAATGGACAACCATGCCCACATGGCTACACTATCGTCTTTTGATACTGCATAAAGACTTTGATAGATACAGCAGAAAAAGGCAAAATAATGCCTGTAAGAATCTCGTTTTTGAAGAATTCTACCAAGATTACAAATGAAAATTTTCACAGCAAATTTAAAAGTTCACTCGAGCGTAATTATTCAGCTTGAGTACCCGCAGCTTGCACGGTAATCAAACAGAGGTAATTCTTTCCGTGAGAAAACCTTCTTTCTCAGAGATAGAATAAAGTTCATCATTGTCAATTTTTGATTCAAATATAGGATGCTTTTCTGGGCTGAAAGGTCCGGTTTTCAGGCATCTCATAGCACACAATGCCAGGGCACCAAGAATTAATGGCAAGCTAACTGAATAAAATAGCATTGTGTAATCTCCAAATTTATCCACCAAATGTCCTGGAAAAGAAAAAATTTTGAATCAAACTTTGATGAAAAATTTCTTCATTGATAAAAATTTCAAATATTTCTTGTAGCCAGAAATTTGTAGAAAGCTAAAGTACACCTTCCTGCCCCCTTTTTCCATTCAAAGTTGGTGCGTTGTGTACTTAAATAATACCTGGTGGAAGGGGGTTCATAAAGCCACTTCCGTCTTTCCAGGATTGTACGTCTCGTTCTTACACAAGCATCTTATTTAACAAACTAAGTTTGGAATTACTACTTAGTCTGTTGGAAATCTTGTTGATTTTAGAACTGAAAGTATTCCACAAGTTTCTTAAATACCCAGTTATGCCAAAGAGCTGCTTTTTAGGAACACAGACATGCAACACAAAGTCACTAACAAAGAAATTATATTGTGATCTTGTGACAAGAGGTTGTTGAAGGATGATCAGCACTATGGCTTCTTAATTCTTTGGTCATTCTAGAGTACAGCTTCTAATAAAATGTTTCTTATAATAAGTATACGAATTCAGAAGACCCCTGTAAACCAGAGCCACATAAGAAGCATACCGGAGAAGCAGAGGAGCCTCTGAGAGGATAGATTGCGAACAAAGCTCTTAAGTCTGACGTCATAGAAAACTTAGTCACGTCTAGATTTTTTTACTTTTGAGCACATAACCCGAACGAACTCCTTGAAATGAATTTAATTATGAAAATCAGTTAAATATTTTAGCAATTGGATAGGATGTGTTTGATAAAAAATTTGAAGTTTGCTTACGGATTACTGTTTTGGCATGGTTAATAAAGTGATGAAGAGAGACCAAACTACAGTGGTTTGATGGGGAAAGTGCCTGTAGCCAGGTTTCCCCATCTCTTTACAGTGAAAATAATCAAACTGCTTTACTGCAAAGAAAATAAATTCAAATACGCTCCCCCTGTAAAGACAAATTGGTACATGATTAAAAATTCGTCGAGATTAATGTTGGTTGGTATGCTTTTAAGTGCAAAATACAGTATTGACAAAACTGTACACGCTTTAGCTTTTAGAACAGGACGGTTCTACGTTACAAGAAACTGCGCTGTTTTGATTCTAGGACAACAAGGACACATCTTGACATATGACGCTTCCTCTATAATGTCATGTTTTTATGCTTCTACTTACCTAATACAGGGGGTCCCGTCATTCTCGATATGCCCTGTACGAAAAGCTGGATGCCAAATGCTTCAACAAAAAAGTCTTTTCCGGATACACTCATGACCGGGACGGCGTCAAGGCCCTGGATTCCGCCGTCAAATACCATGTAAAGTATCGAAAATGCTACGATGTGTGCATATGTAGAAGACAGTGCTGATACCAGCCCAGTAACACCACCTAGTACCATCATAACTTGAAAAGACGTGACAGGATGCAGCAACCTTGAATGCAATAATTGTCCTAGTCCAAGCCTCCCAATTATATTTCCGATACCCATGTACATTGGTAGCATTGATGCTTTATCCCAGCTGATTCCAAACTCGATGGTGAATTGGGTCTGCAAGAAAGTTAATGACAAAAACATACATCAAACCGAACTGCGCTTGAAATTAAATCCCCACAAGCTTTATTCGTTAAATAAACCCATCTCTTGTGTACCAACCATAAACAGGCTAAATTTTGGGTAGGGGTCTGCAGCGACGCGACCATATAAAAGTGGTACCGTTGTCTAGGCTAGTTTTCATAAAAATCTTACCCTTGGCAAGAACACCTTCTACAAAAATTGCTCCATTTATTAGCTAACCAAAATGGCTTATTAGGAATGAATTCCTGCTTTGTTAATTGCGAATCGAATATTGTCATATTACCAATATTGTAAAATATATGATACCCTTATTGTCTAGACTTTTGCTGGGCAAAAAGTCCTAAAAAGTATACCCTTACTCGCGGCACATTCCCAGTTACCTTTAGTACGGAAGAACCGTAGTAAAAATATACATGTTGTTTGAAAAGATGTGGACTGACCACTGACAGCGTTACAAAAGGGCGCGAAGACTTGCGATGCGATAGTGTCACGTGTCAAACATATTTGGCTTATGGGGGGGGGGGGGGTTTGGACTACAAATTTAACTGATTAAAAATTTTTTGCCTGAAATTCTTTAGTTGCTGTCACAAACCTCTGCAATACATTTTTTCAATCTAACTCTGTATATAATTCGCAACTTATCGACCAGTAGATTATTGCCGGCCATGTCTGGTTCAATTTATCAAAGGTTGAAGGTTATCAAAGGTTATCATAGATTATCCAAGGTAAGGTTATTCAATTTTTCATGGTGCATCCTACAAAGCTGAAGGCTTTTAGTTTTTTTGCATTGCTTGACTTAGCGATGGATTGGCGCAATCTATTTCTTTTTAAAGTAACGAATTGAGTACCGAGGAAATGGCTTCTATTGGAACCGCACAAGTTTGAACTGAAGAATTAGAAAGAGTTTTTGCATAATGTTGTCTTGGATGGCCAGCACGCTGTCGACTATCCATGTTTTTAATTTCACAACATGCTATTCCGCTACATTTTGATCAGAATATAAAGCACTGAATATAAGTATAAAACGGTGTGGGAATAGTTTGAGGTTGTTCTAAAAGGCACAATGATGACAAAACGTCATTAAAGGGCACGTGTTGTAGACATGATTGGCTAATGCAAAACAATCATTACTTTTGTTTAGTACAAACACAAAGCATTGAATCGAGGGAAAGGTTTTTGTTGCATTATCTTATAGGAACTCACTATATTGTGAGTTACCGCCTACGCAGTAGCGAAAAGTCACGAAACAATGGGATTCTACTTCAAACGTCTTTGTTGCATAAGCCTACTTTTGCCGCGACATATGCCTTTTAATGCCATTTACCTGGTGACACTTACCTGGTGAACAGCCATTATGTCTCCCCCAAGGCGTGCAAAGAATATCGCTACGATCCAAACTCGAAGTGCTGGAATTTTCAAGACGCGGTAACATTGTTTCAAAGAATTATTCTGTGGTGGGCAACTACAGCGTTCTTTTTTCGGTGAAATTATAATTGTGCCTATAACCAGTATCAGAAAAAGAGGAATTGTGAGAATGCGTAGCAGGAATCTCCAGCCATGCATTTCCAATAATACTTTGAACGGATTTGTGAATAAGATTGGGCTGAGTGGGACTCCAGCAGATACAATTGCTACGATGGAAAAAGATTTAATGTTAGGAGAAGTGAACTAGCACTATGTATATTTCGCAAAGTTATAAAAAATAAATACTGTACTATATTTCAAAATAACTATATAACAGTCTATAAATATTTTGCTTGGAAAAGGCCAAAAGTACCTTTAGGAAAGTAAATTGTCATCAAGAAGAATTTTTACGTACTGTGTTGCTGGAAACAGCGAAAAAACAGACATTGCACTATTAGAGCATAGGCAGAAAATTGAATTTAGGTGCGGAGTGGAGCAAAAGCAATACAAGCGAAAGAAGGGGGTGTTTGAAATTTCAATGTCCAGAAATAGGCTTGACTCTCGATAAAAGATTTGGTTTTAAAAAAGAAATATATCCCCTAGTTCATTTTTCAATCCTAAGCCTAATAATTGAAATTTCATACTCAGAAAATGATGTTGTTGTTGTCTATACTGTTTTCCGCTGCTGATAAAAACATATCTAGAGAAGTTATGTAATATAAAGATGAGTCAGTTTAGCATTTCGCGAATGAACGTGTGCATGACAAATAGATGAATAAATCGATTAAGATTAATCGGATATGGTACAGAGGGGTACACAAAATATCGTGAAACTTAACATAAGATTGCTAATGCTATTAATTCTAGCAAAATCATAAGCTTGGCATCAAGTAGAATGAAAAAGCATCACTACAGTACAGCTACACCACCAGGAGAGGGATGGAAGGGAATTTTTATCCGCAAACAAGCTATCGACGTTTGAACTTAAAATTTCAGTACAGACTATTTATACAGACACAACGTCACGTGTGAGAACAACTTAAAATCACTATCATGCTTACATACGCAATTTTATTGTAACCTTCTTCAAGACTCTCCTGGGATTAAATAAATTCAGGAGGAGTCTAATTAACCCCAATCCAAACATTCAAACAGCAGGGTGAACAGTGACTTGAAGTTATTTGAAAACTGGCTGCATGGACAATAGATAACTCAGTTATGGCAAGAATGGTGACTCCCCAAAAAACAAACGCACTCTTTTTGTTATAAGAATAAAGTCTATAAGATATCCAGGCTCAAAATCACTGAAACTTAAGAATAATAGGTGTCCGCCTTTTGGAAGGTTTTTTATGAGACTTTGACCAGAAAACAATCGATCGGGGAAAACAAATTGTCCGCTAATCAGAGGTGTCCGCTATTTAGAGTGTCCGTTAATTGGGGGGGGGGGGGGGGGGGGAATACTGTACTTGTACTTTACTGGAATACTGGAATACTGTCGCTTAAGATTAATTTAATAATAAATAAAACAGGCTCAAAATAAAAAAATTAAGAATATGAAACGCTTTCTTATAAAAGAAAATGTGTATAAATTTTTAATGGAAGAAGACGAGCAGGCAGTATGAATGCAAATCATTACCGGTTGCTAAGGATGCCTTCTTTTCGAAATGCTGGAACACGCCAGTATATAGAAGATTGGTCAAGAGGCTTGCACCAACGCCATACAATAACCCCAGTGTTACATAAAGAACTTCTAGCTTGTTAACAATGGAAGATCCTAGGAATGACGATGACAGTATAATGGTGGTGAAGCACATTGAGCGTCTCACACCAAACCTCTTGATCACTACGCAGCTTAGCGGTGAGGAAAGGAAGGTGACACTGTGGAGGATTGAAGCCACCATCGCTGGAAAGAAATGTTCGTGTTAATCCATGTAGATGCACCTATCAAGTGGAGAGGTAAGATTAATTAGGCGAAGTACCAAATTTTGCGGTACCAACGAATTAAGCCACATCTCCAGTGAGAAAAATATTTCACGAAATTTTGCTTCGAAATTCTTCATGTAAAAATTTCCTGTGATTGATTTTGTTTACAACACAACTGCAAAGTTCGGACCAGCGAAAACATTTTTTCAGAGAAATTCTTCGCGAAAAATCCCAGCGAAGTTCACTGCGCATGTCCATGACGTAATTCGCGCGAACTATTTCGCTGATATTTTTCTCACTTGAGATTAGGCTTTGTAAGAATATTCAGCTCACTGTTAAAGTACAAAATGGTTTCATGTCAAGCAAACAAAAGCATTGCAATTGTGGAACTTCTTTAAATCTGAGATCATGGCAAGAACAATATCAATATCTTTGAGTTTACCTCTCTCTTGATATAATTAAAATTACCATTTTACCAGCCTGTCATAAAGTGCTCGATGCCGTAAAGGCAGAACTGTACATGTATATGCTATTTCTAAATTGTTACTCCAAATTACGATTACTCTTAATACGATCATCAGGCAACTATTCGCCACTCAGTCCTTAGCGGACGCTACCTACTCCTTGTCGTATTTTCTCTAATGAACGCCGCCCTCTGATGAACGCTGCCCTCTATTGAACGCCGCATCTTAGCCAACCATTTGGAAAAAAACGCCGCCCTCCATTGAACGCCGCACCTTTAGCCAACCATTTGGAAAAAACACCGCTCTCTGATAAACGCCACCCTTCATTGAACGCCGCATCTTGAAAAGCGGCGTTCATTAGAAAACACATCAAACCAGAAATGTGCTTACTATTCGAAAGCTATGAAAGTTTTTATGTCATAGTGACGAGGACTCTGGCGGAAACAGGGATATTGACATTCCTTGACATTGCCATAACGTGAACACATCTTATGTGAACTTTAAAACAATTTTCATACAATCTTTATTATGTGATTTTGGGAAAAATGTTCAAAGTCTATTTTTATCTTTTTTCATCGCACTTTTCTTTTCATCGCAGTTGTCATTTTTCATTTGATAAACTTTTCATTTTTTTTTTAACGCTGCCCTCTGATTAACGCAGCCCTCTATTGAACGTTTTTTAGAGGAAATACAGTAGTCAAAGCGTTTTTTTGTAAAGTATCTATTCTTTCGTAACACCTGCAATGTTTTTTCATCAGCATTCCCTTTTGCAGGCATACCTTATTTCTCTTGTCAAGAAATTTTTCTTTTTCTTAAGGTGGCAGACTTTGCAAGATATATCTATTTCCGTCATTGTTGTGGTCGGGCCATTTCTTATTCAAATTCAAGGAGACGATAAAAAAGTTACATAAAACATCTTCAAAATTTTGCACGTTGACTAGCCTTGGAGAAGATGTAAATCATTTTTGAAAATCAATGCTGATAAAATACTATTCTATCTAAAATAAGGTCCCTAAATGTCCATATCGGTGTGAACAAGGCAGGGGCGGATTTAACGGGGCAACTAGGAGAAGTTGCCCCCCGGGGCCGTCGCTAATCACTTTTACTTAGGGTGGTGCCAGTCACAAATTTGCCGACAAAATAGGGCGTGGCCCTAGGTATTTCAACTTTTGGGTGTGGCTTTTTGACACAGTTGATTTTGTTTATCAGAGAGTATGTTCTCGTCAGTCAATCATCCCTTCGATTTTCGCGTTGAAATTTTCTTTGCCGGAGTAACGGAGTACCTTCTTTGATTTTACTCTAGAAGTGTTCGTGTAGTCTTTTCTTGCAATCGTTTAGAACGTTTTACTATTTTTAGGCATACTTTTGCTACGTTTTATTAAATTCATTCTTAAAACGGAATTCATTACTTTATGAGGCCCCTCGAGGTCCTGGGGCGCTTTGCCTTCTTGCCCTCCTGCTTCCAGTACCTCCAGGATCAGCGTTCAGAGTTTTCCACTAAACTTTGACACTTCCCCAAACATTAGGTGGAAATTAGGTGACCCTGTAAATGCAGACAATTGTCTGCTAGGTTTTTGACCCTGTCTGCCGACAGGGTGTCATTTGAAATTTTTAGGGAATATTTTCCCCTCCGTGACACCCATAGCGCTATCTGTGCCTTGAATTGCTGAGGGCTTTTGGATGATATATTTTTTCGGTCTTATCTACATCCCATCTACACTGTTTGCTAAAGCTATTGTTTTGGGAATTTTGAAAGCAAAACCGGACAAAACTCTACTTTTCGAGAATTTGCCGCAGAAAATTCCTTTGTAGGGGTGTCGCATCCCCTGTACCCTCACCTCCACCACCTCCACCCCCACACCTGCTAGCGACGGCCATGCGCGTGTTAAGGGGGCTCGCTTGTTAAGCCCCAAAATCTTTCAAATTTCAACACGTGAGCTGAGCCCCCTAGCTCCCTGCCAAGGACACTCTGGGAAGGGGTGAAGTGCAGGTTAAGTGTTAACTCAGAAAGAAATGCACATGCATGGCATCTTATGTTGATTACAGGTCATGAAATACGTCATCCAATCAATTTTCTCATCGAGGAAATCGATGTCTAGTCTTGGCTCTTAGCACAGTATTTGACTTGATTTGTCCCTTTATGCTATTTTTAGAATATGAAATTGCTACCCATTTCTCTATTTAGGCATTCTTCTCTAAATAATTACTCTCTTTTATATGAATATGAAATGTAGCTTTCTCCATTCTTTCAATAAACTGAAAAGTAATACGAAAAGATGTAATTGACAATCTTACCCGTTAATGCTATTTTTAGAATGGGGGTACTGGAACCTAGTTCTCGAATTTGGGTTTTTCCTTCATAGTCTAGGCTCTGAGCACAGTATTTGACATAAATTGTGCAAATTGTGGTACCAGCATGAAAATGGGTACACTGAGGCAATTTGACACGTTGATAATGATGCCGAACAGACACAAGCTGAAAAATGCCCCCAAGTGCTATTTTTAGACTGGGGTACTTGACCACATGACCGCAATAAGGGAGTGAAATTTCCACATGTTTCTAAGTGTTTTTTATTAGATTGCCTTCATCATACAAACTACTCGCGCTGGCTGTCGAAATAACATCAATCGTATTTGAAAGTAGCCTATTATTATAACGATTTTCGCCCCTCTGAATATGATCGAGTTTGAAAGTTCAGTAAGGGTATTTAGCATTTCTGCTACTTTGGATAGTCAGCATTTTATACAAATTGTATGAGATTTTCAGAAGTAGCGAAATGTGAAAGTCGCATTTTCCTGTACATGTGATAAATTGCATTGACCTTCAGAGGCAGGAAACGCGTACATATTTAAACATATCGCTTTATGCATATATTAACTGCGTTTTTCATAATATATTTCGGTGATTGAAAAGTTGTATGAAGCTACACTTTAGTATTTACATCAAAATTAGCGATATTTAACAGTAGATAAAAGTTTGAATGAGCTTGGATCTACGTATCCCATTCAGAAAAGAGAAACTAGGCGGAATTTTATCTCTCCGTTATATTTTAGTGTATCACAAAGTATAGAATGCTAGACTTTTTATGTTAAAAGCAGTAATGACTAATAACGTACAATAGAAACAAGTCTAAAAAGTTATAGCATCTAGAGGTAATATTCTACTTTTTTCTAAAAATACTGTTTGGTTAACCAAAAAGGTAGACAGCCATACTATCTTGTTTACGTCAAAAGCAAGTAATTGCCTGTAGAAGAGTGTTTACATAAAGGCCTAGAGGCAACACCCCTAATCTAAAAATAGAATGAAAGGATAATATTGTTTCTGTGTTATACTTTTATCGTGTAGAATTGTGTTTGAACCTATACCTTCATGCTCAATTTAAACTTTAGTTAACTAAGTAAAGTACCCCAGTCTAAAATAGCACTTGGGGGCATTTTTCAGCTTGTGTCTGTTCGGCATCATTATCAACGTGTCAAATTGCCCCAGTGTACCCATTTTCATGCTGGTACCACAATTTGCACAATTCATGTTCTAACAGCCCAGATTAGTCAGTTGTCAGCGCAAGAGAGACTAAAGTCCAAATTTTGATGAAAAACGAAGCACCCTTGCTTCGTGACAGATGCTAGGGTCTGAGACCTTGGAGCCCGAGCGCTTGTGTATGACATGTCGTCAAGAAAACCCAGTACCGCTGACAATTTGTCAGATTCATTGTTTGTCTTCATTCAAAACACAGCATTGCATCGTAGTGATAAGGTCTCGAGTATCTGTTAGTTTTCAAGACAAAAGGAGGGGACGGTTTCAGAGACTAGGCCTTTCTTGATGAAATACTAATAGCGAGAACACAAAACTGGAATGGTACATGATACAGGGTGCAAGAAAAATAAAAATGATATTGAGTTTGGCCATTTACATGCTTAGACCCCAATAAAACTTTTTTCAACCCCTCCCCTCCAATCGCAGACCATGTGATAGGCTTGCCTTGTCATGTGGACAGAAGCCACATAATAAATTGCCTTGTGATTTTCCAGGGCACAAGGGGCTGTGTGATTACTATTTTCAGCATTTTGAAGTTCATTAACATCGGCATTGACTGCTAACATGTAAGAAGTCACACAGCACTGTCCCGTCAGTCATAATAAAGAAAATATTGTATTTTGGTAACAAAGAAACAATATCTCGGACATCCCTCTCTTTGGAACTGGCGGTATCGGGAGTAAACACTGCCAATCCAAAAAATGTTTATCTAAATCTTTATGGCAAGTGATTGCAAGCAGCTTATCGTAATTCAGTACGTATTTATTGCTTGTGTCGAAATCTCGGAGGTGCATACTTTCAGCATCAGCTCAACAGTGTTGTAATAAATATCATTTTAACAGTTTAATTTTCAGATATTTCTCACAACATTTTCTCTAGACTTCGAAACCAAAAGTACGGGGTTCTAGAACATAACTGATCGTTACAAAACAGCCTGTTTTAAGAAAACCGTTCTTATAGGATACCTTTTTGACACATTCCCATAGGTCCTGTTTCTACTATCCCGCTGTTCACGCAATTGCCACTTTCTCCGTTCGTATTTTTGTGCAGGAGACTCGAACAAAATACCATTGCAAGAAAAAGTTGTGCATCCAGACCAAACTGCAACGGTTTTTCGTGCGAAAAGCTCGTGCATAGCTGTTTACGACAGTTTTTATTTTTTTTTCGAAGTTGAGTGTTCTGAAAATCAGACGCGTTGTTTTTCATGTCTCATTTTGCTAGGCCATGTTTTAAGGAAACATAAAAAACATCATTTACAAAAATACGCTGCTAAGTTCTTTGCGCATGCCAAATCTTCGCAGCCAGGTAGGTATCTAAAGACCATTCGCCATGACATTGGCTTTGATGGGAAATTCCACCAAGCCACGTTTTGCAGCTCAGCGGCTGGGAGAAAAAAATTTCCATGTCGCGCGGCTGCTTTCGTGGCTCAGAACAACGCGCTCCAGAAGACTTAGAATTCAGGCAGGGGCAAACCAGGCCTGTCGGAGCCGGGGGGCTGGGGGGGCTAGAGCCCCCCCCCCCAATAATTGTCGAACTGTAGTATGTTTCCTTTATAACAGTGTACTGAACGAGAAGAAAAACAATGGGCAGCCCCCCCTCCCAATATGAATTTCATTCCGACGGCACTGCAAACATAATGCTTCCTTTGTCAAAGGAAGCATTGCTAACGATATTTATATAATTGAAGTTGCAATTACCTGTTTTTGCTCGAGTTTCGCCAAACTCCTCCAAAAGGTATGTGTACAGCAGTCCAATTGTCAGTGAAAAACCATTGACCAGGAACATCATCAAACTGCTCACTACACAGACAACCCAGGCCCATCCCCCATCTTTTGCCCCATTACGAAATTCGTTGAATTTCTTGATACATTCAAGCATCTTGGATGGCTGCTTCAAAAGCCTGACGAGTCTCTCTGTACCTTGTCAATGCATGGAAGGGCACAAAAATGATACGATAGCCGAGCTGGCTCAGTGGCAGATTTTGATACGATCCTGGCTCCAAGTTGGTGGCTCGATAAACTTTTCCAAACTGCGGATTTGTAGAATCACGTGACGTCTATTTTGGGGTTGACCTTTGTGTGAAATGACGGAAGCTGCCGTGGTACATTCTGATGACAAACGCTGCACCCTCTAAAAGGTAATTATTATGGTGCGCCGTTGCGGCAAAAAATGATTAATTTTTGTGTATGCAGTTTTTAAAAAAATGTAAAAATGTAAATGCACATTCAAAGAATTGTGTATGCACAATTAAAACATTGTGTATGCAAACATAAATTTTTGTGCATCCAAATTATTAACTTTTGTGTGTGCGGACTTCGCTGCGTTTGTGTCACAAATCGATGTGTGTGTGTTGCAAAAATGGTGTGCGTGTCATGTAATTTGATATGCCTTTGACATTATGGCTACCCGCTGACATTTGTTCTGCCAAACAAAGCTTTATAGACATTTTCACGCAGTGTTTCTACTTTAAAGGAAATTTTCCTTCGATCAAGAAAACTGATACTTTAAAAAATGCCGGTTTCTGCAAGCAGCTATACTTTTCTCTCCATTTCCAGCTTCTCTGCAAGCAGCTATACTTTCCTCTCCATTCCACATCCCTAGGCTAAACTTTAATCTAAACAGCTAACATAAACAACGACGGTTCTCCACGAACTCTAGTACTAAAAATTCAATGAAATATATAACGAGGCACAGCACAGTCTTTCTCAAGCACTGCCTATCCTAAATGCAAACTGGGCCGCAACAGCTTTCGTAGGCCTCTAGGGCGAAACGGTTTGGTTTTTATCTGATGTTATGTCTATACCTTCTGAATTTCTCTCCGAATCTCCTTGAATCTAACTAACTACGTATATTTATGTGTACAAGGAAAATAATGATGTAATCCTAATGAGGGGTAACCCTACGGAAAGGAAAAGTATAGCCGCTCGCAAGAAACTGTCATTCTTTAAAGTATCAGTCTTAGGATCATCTCTCGCGATTTTAAACCTCCATTTTACAATGGTAAAATAACAGCTGTATGGGTGGCGCTGTATTCAAGTTAATATTTTATTATGCTACCCCAACCTCGCCCCCCCCCCTCACACCTAGGAGTACTCGATATCTTAGTAGAAAAATTCAACGATTTGCCCTCGGCACCAACACTGCCCCTCCTGCCCTTATCTTTTGCAGGCGTCCCCGTGCGAAATTATGGGTCACATTTTTTCAGACATGTGCAGAATTGTGTCCTAATTTTTTAACCAAAATGGCACGTCCGTGTTCAAAATAGGGTTTATTCAATTCTCACTGAAGAACTTGAGATTTTATATATCTATTCTATTTACAAAAACACAGTGCCAATTTCACAAAGGCACAGTGCTGCCCCCGCTGCCCCCGTGGAGTCGGGGCAGGAGGGGCAGCTACCCCCGGGCTTTTGGCACCCCTGATTGAAAAAAAGGTTTTTTTAAAAAAACGGTATTCAGTTTGATTCTGAGCCCTAATATTCTTTAAAAAAACTCTCAAAAAAGAATGTACTGGGTTTGGTGACAACGTTTACCTTTTGGAGTGAAGAAATGTAAAAACGTAAGTATTATTTGGCAGCTGCTAAAAATGACAGGACAAAGGAAAAAACCCAGCGGGTAGCCATAATGTCAAAGGCATATCGAAGTACATGATACACCATTTTTGCAACACACACATACACACACATCGATATGTGACACACACAGAGCGAAGTCCGCACACACAACAGTTAATAATTTGGATGCACAAAAATTTATGTTTGCATACACAATTTTTTGAATGTGCATTTACATTTTTTCAAAACTGGATGCACTTTTTTTTAAAACAGCATACACAAAATTAATCATTTTTTGCCGCAACGGCGCACCATAAATTATGATTTTGAATCTAGAAATGATGGGTGTGTGTGTGTATGCAGGGCCGGTTCCATGGGGGGTATGGGGTGTGTAACACCCCCCCCCCCAAGAATAGGCATTTGTTTTTTAGTCGGTAAAATTGGGATTTTAGTCGGTAAAATTAGGATTTTGACGGGTAGATAAACTTTATTTGTAGCAAAGTGTACTTCATGTAATTTTTAAAAAAACATTCAAAGATATTAAAAAGTTATGCAATTCAGTTTTTCCGTTGATCCAGAAGAGAATTTTCAGGAACATCACAGAAGAAGATTAATCCCAAGAAATTTGACAAAAACAGAGACAATTTTAGCCTGGGAGATGCATTTCTAGCCATCCTAGAAAGCTTAATTTCAAAAAATTTCTTCCGCACTAAACTTGATTCTTAGCCCCCCAGGCTCAGTTTTGTGGCCCCGTCCTCTGAAACTGCGAAGCACAATGCACCAGTCGTCGTCTACATCTCTTTACACTAATTTCGTACGAGAAATACATTTGACAGAACTAATCTGCTATCAAGAAGTGGGTCCAGTTGAAGAAAAGAAGAGTTCGATTCAGTGTTTCTGAAGGTTGAATAAACTACGTGACAACAAAAGCTTATTTAAGAACTTTCATAAAATTAATAGTTTTAAAGCTAAAGTTGCTTTGTAATGGCTGAAATTTAAAAATTAACAATGCTAAAATATTCTGATCGCATTAACGGAGTGTAATGCTGCCAAAATGTACTCGGTAGATAAACACTTGCAATATATTGCTGGTTAGAGGTTGGGATGTCTTTATGCGCTGTCTGTTTGAAAGAGACTATTGTGCCCTTTTTGCTTGATTTTTTTGGCATTTTGTAGCCAGGCTCGCATGCCTGTGTTTTTCTGGATGCGTGTATGTGCTGTCCTCAATGCAACAACTCAAAACCATTCTCCTATTAGAGTTGAAAAACCTATTCCATTTATATTTCTAAGCAAAAATCGAAAATATCATGCAGTTTATTTTCATGCAGCATGAAAATAAGTTTATTTGCCTTTGTCTTCGAGGAACGTTCTCCAGCACTCAGTGTGACCAGATCTAGCATTATATTATGCTTTTAGCATATTTTTGACCAAAAATCGTCATTTAGCAAAAAACCTGGCATAATCGGAAATCTAGCATAATTCTGGCATAATTTTTACATTATTAAAATAATGTTACAATTCTGTCAATAAGTTTCGGGCCAACTGGGAAAATGGTGGATGTCAAGTATCTGTATGCAAACTTTTAACACCCAATTAACATGAGTTCATATTAAGTGCACCAATCTTGAACCAACAAAGTCCATGAAAAATACAATGAACAAGAACATTTACACCAGAGTGCAGGATATCTTAGTTAATTTCCCTAAAGACGATCTTAATTCAAATAGCGAAGATGAATGATAAGAATTTTCAGCAATTGACATTGTATGAACTAATCATGTTTTTGTTAATTTGAATTGATTGTGCTAGTTTGTAAACTGTTCAACTTAAATCCTCTATTTGTTGAACGTTATTCTGGGTTTTTGCTATTCTGCACATGCGCTGGCCTCTCTTTCAAACGAGAGAGCCTCGATTTCAAGTCTAGCATGAATTTTGTAAATCTGGCATAGTTTTATGACAATTTCAGCATAATTGCGAAATTGAGATCTGGTCACACTGCCAGCACTTGCAGCACACTCAAAACAGCACACTCAAGGACAGAGCTACAATGCCTGCCAAAAGTCTTAGAACACTGACATCAATTTCCAATGTCAAAACCAATCATCCCCCTCTCCCCTACAGAACAATGTTGGTTTACTATCAAACGGGTTAGGATTTTAGGAAGCATTTTCTTTTGCGCTTCTTTTATGATATTTCTCTAAATCATCAACATTGTTTTAGCGGGAAGGGGGCGGAAGTAGAAATTTTTTCATGAAAGGAATGAAAGATATCAAATGCAGCGTAAATTGCTGTGTGTTCCAAGTACTTTTGGCAGGCATTGTAGGTTTTATTCAGCACACAGTTTTTTGCACTGTTCAAAAATTCCAAAAGTGTTCCTTCTAGGTGCATGCAAGCAAACAAATAATTTCTGGTACAAAATAAATTAATCTTGGATTTCAATTTTTCGTCCATTTTTCCAAACAAGCGGTTATGTTCCTATTTACAGCTCACAGAGGTGCCTCTTTTTGCCGTCATGTTCCCCTACCCACTTTCAAATTACTTCCTATCTGCATGCTCTTATTCAAGCAATATTTTTTTGTTTCTGTTTGTTTCTGTGATTGAGTTCTGGGTGCCATTTTATTGTCAGCGTTTGGTCAAGCAGTTTAGTTGAGCGCACTGTAACACGCTGTAGCTGAACTAGGCAAGCATTCTACTACCAATTTTACATTGATTTGAACGCTTTTCTATAAATATACATGAAAGGAAATGAGAAGATTTTTCTAATTTCAAAAAGAAGGAAAAAATAAGGAAATGCCGTTCTTAGAAAGCTCTGTCTAATCCCGTCACCTCTCGGTTAAATGATAGTACAAGTGACACCAGCTACAGTCACTCTGAGAAAACACTACTATGCTACCAAATCAAAGAGATTATGCAACAACAACCGGAAATTCCGAGATTGTAATTACATCTAAGTCAAAGTTCTTAGTCCCAGTTAATCAATGTTACAGGCCCATAGGAAGCTGGGGGCAGGAGGGGCTCGTGCCCCCCCCCCCAATATTTTCCAAGGACCGTTAGAAAAATGGTTGGAGCTTTCTTTCCTTTTATTAAAATTTTGTAGAAAGATTGTTGCAGTTTGCAGCTTATCTGATGTTTGGAATGAAAATTTCTATGTTATAAGTTTTAGTGTTCTGTGATTTGTCTATCGAGGTGCTAAGTTTTTAACTTAAAACGGTCGTTGCTATCTGGGAAAATGGTCTCGGCAACACCAAGCACAACTCTGCAACGACCTCTAATCCGTATCCGTAAATTTTCGAATTTCTCTGCGACGAAGTTAATGTTTACAAATTTTAAAAGTAATTTGCATGAAAACCCTTTAATGAATTTTCTTGATAATTTCTAAAAAGCTTTTGACACGGCACGTGAGATTTGTAAGCCTATAAAAAGATCCTAAAAAAGAGATACAAATTGGACGAAATGCCGAGTAAGACAAAAATGATTCTAGAGGCATTCATGCTCTTTGCCCAACACGTTGGACAGTTCGAGGTGAGGCTCTTCGGTCCCCCCTTCAAAATTACAACAAGCTGCTTCAGTTGTGGGAATGGACACTCCAAAACTGCAAAGACGCTGATATAAAAGCAAGGGTTCGTGGAGTGAAATCACGACTTCATATTTGGTTGGGAGTTGGGAGTATTGCTATTGCGTCAAACTGAGAATCTCAGTCCTAAATTGCAAAGCCAAAAAATTGTCAGCTGCTAAGGGGAAATGCCATTGTACAGGATGTGATTAAGGTTCTGTGTAGAGATGGGAAAGAACATTCCTTTAACTTATTTTGGGATAAAGTACTGTTGAAGAAAGAAGAACTTGATGCTGATGATCCCAAGCTTTCAAGAAAAAGAAGAATGCCCGCAAGATTCGATCCCAACAGTTATTTTCCATCGAGTCCAAGGGAAAGTTGTCGTCATATTTACTTCAATGCTTTTGATGCGACTATCGAAAGTATAAGAGCAAAGTTCAATCATGCAAATTTCAAATGCTAATCCAATTTGCAAGACCTTTTGCTGAAGGCGGTTACAGGAAAACCACTCGAGAAACAACTTATCAAGCCACGTATCAAGTTTTTATGGAAATTATGTCAACCCATAGAGATTTATCTCTATGTGTCAACCATTTAACACTGATAGCACCAGCAGCCAGGGCTTTGGGCTTTGATACTGATAGCTTTAATATTTATGATCTAATTAAAATGTTTGAACAGCTAGAAGCACCAAGAAAAAGTGCACTAAGCGAAGTTTTAATACTTGGGAAGATTCTGTTGGTGATGCCAGCCACAACTTCAATTAGTGAAAGATCCTTCACTGCTTTGGAGAGAATCTTATCTACAATCTACCACTACCAACAACAGGTTGAATCGTCTGATGATCCTACATGCTCATAACAGGGGCGGATCGAGACATTCTCAACATTCTCAATTGAGAATGTCAGATTTTCCCAGTTTGATTATTCTAAATAAAATGCTAAAAGTAATGAATGAGCTCAGGTTTAAGATTCAATATAAGCTTACATATTTTTATTATGTATTTAGGGTATTTATTTCTACACCATCGCCGTATTTGCTATATTTTACTCCGTTTTGCCTTTGCGAAACATTTTTAGATCTTCTCGGATGAAAAACCAAATTCTTCTTCATTGAACCTAGTACCCAGGAGAGTGGCAAAAGGCTGCGCCGCGTCCTGTATCTAGGCATGATTTTGAGAATGTTTATCAACTGCTGCCATTCATTTTCAGAAGTTCCTTCGCCCAATTTAGAAAGTTGCACGCAGTTTTTGCATGCGCACGCAGAGAATTTCAATTCATTTTTGTCCCTTAGAAGAGGTCTACCTGAAAGATTTTAACGAGAGGAAAATTCGCCAGAATGACGTATTAAACCCATATTGTATCAACGCTGTCGAGAAGATCACGTCTGTGTATGTCATAGGCACTGCAGAGCAGCAAAAAGTGCTCCGTATCCTCAATGCCAACATTTATCAGGCACAGGGGATTAAAAGTATCCATAAAATTATGTTTAAATTTGTGGTAATTTAGTTTGCTTAGTCCAACGCGTAGCTGCGTTAAAACAGATAAAAGTTTTGGATCATGAATTCCGTAGACCGATTTGGAGGGTGGACGAACGAGTCCTAGAAGTTGTTTCTTGAAAACATTCACTGAGCGGGATTCACGAATTTCAGAGTCAAGTTTTTCCTATTCCGACAAGCAGGGACGAAAATAAGTTGCTAATTTTGGGGGGGCGTGGAAGTATGAAAATTCCAACTTTAAGTGATAAATTTTTCATTCGACCAGTAGATCTGTTGTACCTACCAAATTGATATTTGTAAATAGCCCGAACACCATAGTTCTATTTTCTTTATAATTACCAAATCTTTACTCAATAATTAGCCTAAAGCATAAAAGCTTAAATCTCTAAATTTTGATTAACATGAAACAAACATTAAACATACTGTAAGAAGTAAAGCAACATTTAAGCAAAACCAGTATTAGATATACTTAATGATTAGTAGTATTCTTTCAGATCAATTGATCAATTTTATCTAAAATACATTTTTTCACGATATAGAAGCACCAAGAATTTGGGCCTTTTATTTTCGTTCTTGATCGAAGAAAACTACCTTTAAACTTTTCAGAGGGCCAAATGCCTTTTCATTCTTTACAATTGAAATAATGATTTGAGAACAAACTTGTGCATATGCCTGATTCGAAAGATGAAATACTCTTCTTTGATCAAATACTTCTACTGCAGTTTTTGCAATGTGTTCTTGCTCCACAGCAGTTTTGTCATAGGAATTTATGATAAGGACTCAAGGACATTAACAAATAACAGGGGGAGTTTAGCATAAACTCGTTTTTTATAAGAAGCGTTGAGAATTTTTAGTACTGAAAGATTCTTAATCTTTTATTGAATTAACTACTCGTAGTTTCTAAAAAAATTCCCACTCTAATATTTTCTGATCAATGCGGGTATTATTATTCCAAACTGTAAGTTTCAAGTTTCTTATCCGTAAGTTCACCTTGCCTGTTCGTAATTTGATTCAACTCCCGTCAGAAAGAAAGAAAAAGAAAACGGGGCAAGTGTGCAATTTGGATCCAGTGGAGACGGGATTCACAATAGAAAACGATTGGATGGGTCAGCTTCAGCCTGTGAATTTTAATGTTTAGAATTTTTATATTTAAAATAAAAAAACTTCTTAAAATATAAAATTCACAAGTTTGGTCTTAAGAAAAAAATTCCAAGTCAACCGTTACGTTTTCCAACTGTAACTGGATTTTCCAAACTTTGGGGGGGCGTTACGCCCCCCACGCCCCCCTATTATTTACGTGCCTGCCGACAAGCAGTTTGGGTAGAAAGTTGATTTAAATCTCTCTGTTCTTGCACGTATTTGCTCTATTGTAGCTTGCCTGCGCAGACTATGGTTTGACTCCTGGCGTTGGGGTATAAGATTTGTTTCGCAAAGCTGACTATTTTCTTGTTTTTTCCATGTTCTAGCAGGATTCTTATTACATCCTTGAGAAACACGCCGTAACAAGTTTGTGGGTTTGGATGTTATTTTTATTGTGAATAACCCCTTCATACAAAAGATCTCTTTTGAAAAAATGAACATAGAAATATAAACAAATATGATTTAGGGAAAAGGGTTTTCGAAAGAAAATGGACGTTTCTGAGAGAGAGAAAACCTCAAAATGTTCCCCTTTATCGTTCCGTGCCCCCCCCCCTCCAATATCTAAAACCACGCTACGGGCCTGATGTTATGTGTGTTTATTTGAGGGTGGGAACTTAATGGCAATATTGGGAATAAGAACTATCTATGAATGCTATTATGCTGTTATGAAGTCAGTCACTACCAAAACATAGTAATTATTTGATCCTTTGATTACTGGGGTCTAATTTAAGGGCTGGGTTTTTTAAAGGTTGGGGCTTATTGGGGAAAATACGGTAGTAAGCTCCAATGGTTAAAGCCCTGAATGTTCTAAGAATTCTTCATTTCATACCACATTTAACGAGGAGCACAAGCAAATCTTGAAAGAAAATGAACAGATTCTAGAGGCAAGCCCCATCTTTCATGATCGAGCCCTTTGGATTGTGTGATATCTATTTTTTTTATTTTGTAATACATTTCAAGCGATATAAAGCTGCTACAAAGAGGTTTTGTACCGGAGTTAAATTTTTTGATTGTTAATTAGACAACGGACTAAAAATAAAATTCTTTTTAGGAATATTCAGAGTGTAATTGTTCAATTAATATATAGGTTGGAGTAGCCTACCAGCCTACCTCCCCCCCCCCCCTCCATTTTATTCATATTTACCTTGATCGTCTTAAAAGCAGTAGATTTGTCGGTTAGTTTCGACGGCGTAATGATTAAAATTGGATAGAAAAAATCATTGGACCAGGATTGAGAAAGTTTTTTTGACGATATAATGAAAATTCTTTAAAAATGTTATGACAACACAACCGCTTACTAGAAACTGTTAATAACCTAGAAATACTATTGAACACACTTCACGTGGAAATAACTTTTGCTTACATTATTAAGGCTTGTTTTGGCCTAAAAATACTTCTTACACAAGCAGAAGTAAGAATTAAGGACGGGCAAATAAGCATTTGTAAATTAGCATTGAAAAGTGTTACTAAAACCAATCGGCAATGATTTCGAAAATCTACAAACTTTCTTTAGTGAAAAAACTTTTCAAAAAACTGCTTGCATGAATACGTTGTCACACAACCAGAACCAGCCGTTTCGATTCGATGCTCTTATAACATTACAATAAAAAACATCTCATAAATAAAAAAGTCGAAAGTTAAGAAATATTAATAATCAAGTTGACTTAAAATGACAGTAGTTACCTCAAGCATGCAGTGGTGACGAAGCCTCGCCAGTAACAGTAGCAAATATAGCAAAGATATGAAAACTGTTCGACCCTTCGACCATTAGACTCGATTTATCATTCGGGCGTGTTTTATATTGTAGACAGCTACAGGTACCATATCGCTACAAGCTGCGTTTGGACATTGGTGTTGGTGCTGCGGCTTTAGGCTATGTGGCACAATGATGTAACAGGTGCCGCAAAAAAGGGCCAGGGACAGTGGCGTAACGGGCAAAAGTTACTTTTAGTTCGAAAACTAAGGGCCCCAACCTTGAGAGGCGCCAAGCAAAAGTTTTGTCTATGTAATTCTAATTTAAAGTGGTATTGTGGGTATAATAAACGAGTTCAAGGGGCCCTAAGCCTGCATGAAATGCACGTACAAATGAAAAGAAAATATACTGATCAGTTTATGCAGTTAAACTACTGCTAATAATTTAGGGTGGTACCTAACTGAGAAATCCCTAGGGGCCCCGGCTGCCTCAATTACATCACTGGCTAGCGACCATTTAGCATTGTTAATATCTAGATATATTGCAAATGTGATATATTGATAACCAAGTCTTCGATAATACTTTTCTCAAAAAATTTACCTCCCATAAATAATAAATTTGGTGTGTGATCGGAGATAATTAATGCTAAATCACTCAAAGAAACTCAATTTAATATTGTGAAATCGATTTAGACTGGCTATTGCACGGTAAACTGCGCAATGCATTTGGTCCTGAGCAATTTTGCGCAGATTGTTCGCTATAGAACGACAGTTAAACAGGTCTCTTTAGAGAGGGTTTATATTTGTGGTTCTACGGCCTTGACCATATGGCTGCAGCTGACGGATTTTGGGTCAAATTTGGTTAATTGCGGCCTTTGCATCTTGGAGATATCGAAAGGAATTGCTAGGTGAACTCAATACCGCGGTTGCGATTTTCAGTGACTTGGGAATCTATGCTGAGGTTAAAGGCTGGAAGATACGGCTCAGCATCTACCCGTCTCAGAACCCCCGAAGGTTGAAAAACAAAAGACCTCACGGCTAACGATTTTACGCGATTTGGTGCTTTTGTCCCTATAACAGACAAAGATGTTTAACATTTTACATTCTGATGTCCACTCTGTTTATAATTCCATAGCATTTCACTTCAACTATCATTTGTCAGGAGGTATCAGAAAGTCTTTTCTGATAGAAAACGCGCATTGAAAATATTTAGGATATTTGTAAACACCATGGATATGTCGATGTTTATAACTGAAAGATGCAAGAAGCAGAAACAGGTTTGTAGCGTGTCTTCAGCTTCAAATGATGATCGAACAGCCAGTGCTGAGGAGAGGGGGGTCAATTAAAAATATCACAAACTGTCTTTTAAAGAAACAATAATGACAAAAGTATATGAAAGAAGTAAAGTAAAAGAGGTTTGAGTCTTTGACTGCTTGAGTGTTAAGAATTTCTTAACTTTGTGGGCTTGGTCGAAAGAAGTAGAAAAGCTTCTGAATGTTACCAAATAATGTGTACCCCCTAGAAGCGTCTGTCTTTACTATATATCTTTTGTCCTCACCCGGGGCCTATAAATTCTCTCTGCGGCCCTGCGAACAGCAGCTTCGTTTTCAAAACTTTAGTTACCAGACTGTAGAATCGCGACAAATTAGGCACTTTTAAAAATGGTCTAGTATTCTGAATATTTTAGTGACAACTCCGATCTTACATCCAATTACTTGGATTTTTACAGCTTAAGTTTTCATATAATATTATTTACTATTAACTTTTAACCGACATTATTAGTTGGTTTTCATTAGCTATTTGTAAATTTAGTATGTTCTATGTCTTGGCTATTTTTACGGCCGACATGTAAATACAGTGATAATGGTAATGAATAAATAATAAAAATGGCTTTGGTTACGCATGGTCCGGTTTGCCAGATGTTTGAGATGGATGTTAGCCAAAAATTTCAAGATTCATTGCCTACTTTGTTTTATTTGACTAATTATGCGGAGCAAAAGTGTAATCAAAAATGGCTTAGTAAGATAAATTCTGCCAGCTTGTGCAGCTTGTGCGCTTTGGTCCAAGAGTTTTGAAAAAAAACAGCCTATAGACAAATTTCGGCCCTGCGGACACGTAACTTGAAATGGATGTTTAGATCTGCGGTCAATAAAAGGTGGCTATTCCGAAACTACCTACGTGTTTTCAATCTCACGCGGAATGCTGTATTTCCTAGACAAGAAATGAATGTAAATAGACGAAGTCAAATGTATGAGCTCCTAAATTTATTCCTAAAACGCGTACAGACTGGTCATTTGAGAATGTAAACACCCATTTCAGGTCACGTTACAGTATAACAACAACAGAGCAGAATGTTGACCTAACTCATGGCAATTGCGTTTAACTAATACCCCGTTTACACTGTCCCGGGACAATTTTGTACCGTTACGGTTCGCAAGTGTTTACACTGTCGCGGTTCCAAATTGTTTCGTTTAGCCGTTCCGTTTACACTGTACCGGTACAGTATAATGGCTTCAGAATTTAATGGCAGAACATTGTTTAGAAGAAGCTGTATTTAGTCAACCAAGGCTTTTATTTTGCCGCCGAAGTCAACAATCGAATTTTTATTGAGAGTTAAAATGAAGTGGAAGGCCGATAAAAACTTTACTTGGACGAACGACAAGGTGGCTTTAATTTTCAGTGTTATTTTAGACTACAAAACTGCAAATTCCAATCAAGGCTTGGACTGGGAAACAATACAAGCCTTTTCTGTGGTTGTCTTTTCTTCAGAATTTCCTTTTCTTCAGAATTTGACAACGTAGTTACGCCACAATCAAAGCCTCGATTACCTGAAACAGCCATACAAAAGACCTCTTTGTGAATCCGTGACAAAATCGTCTCGGATAGGTGTTTACACTGTCCCGTTCAAAAACGGAACCGTGACGGTACAAAATTCGTTCGCTTTCAAAGCAGGGTAAAAACTGTTCCGGATAGCAGAGCAAAATCGTCATGGTTCCACAGTGCTAGTGTAAACGGAAGGGCGAACCGCGACAGTTTTGTCACGGTTCCAAACTTGCACGGGACAGTGTAAACGGGGTCTAAGGGGCTGTGGAGGTTACAGTTTTTTTAGGTAGCAAATGAGCTTTGAAAAGGAGTTTCATCACACTCAGGTGAATGCAAATAGATAAAAAAATGCTTGTTAATCAGTTTAAGATTCTATACATTCACGAAAAAACAAATTTTCAAGCCCAGCCTCCTAAATTGTTTTAAACTGATAAATTGCTTTGAAGTAATAAATTGGCCTTTTGTAGAGTACAAGGTGCAGGCAGAAAAGCATACCAATTAATACTAACGACCTTCCATATGTTCCTGGCGATACAAGCCTCTACCTCTCTGGTCGTGGTGCTATGCTTTTGAACGAGGTACAAACGATGATCTGAACAACCTCAGGCATTATTGACGGGGGAATTGATCATTTAATGTAAACAACACTAAATGATATCTAGATAATCACCAAACAGAAAAATGACGCTTCGAGATTATAAAATATTTATATGAAACATGGAAAAACCAACAGTGTTTGTAGTATATGCATAACTGGCGGGTTGACTACCTGTGACGGGTACAGAGCCATAACTGGATCTGCCTGACTGTCGACCGTTTCTTTACTTATTCGAACGGACTGGGTTTTTAACAGTTTCCGAGGACAATAAATATTAAAATGATCAGAATACATCACATTCATCTAATTCACCATACAGTAGAAATTTCAAGCAATATATTCTCCATGTAAAGATTAAACAATACATTTACCAATAAAAACTTGACTTACAATTTACAGTTCATCCTTCAGCTTTTCTTTTATTTCAATTAATTTCTTGTTTCGTTTCGGTTTCCATTTCATCAACTTTGCATACCTTTTAAGAAGTTGTTTCCAATATTCTTGGATATCTTTCATTCGAAGATGAGAGAGAATGAATTCCCTGCCCCTAAAAGAAAGAAAGGGGATGGTTAAAGCGTAGTTTTTTAACAGTAGCGAATGCACATGAGAAGGTTATCGGTAACAGAATAATATCAAAAGACACACCCATACCACGCCCACGACACTGTTCGTTTTCACAGTTTTTCCGAGTGACGTTGTTAAGGTTTTGGCAGGAGGAAAGATGAAAACCTATCTGGACTCATGACAACTATTCTGTGATTCTATCTAATGGTAGACTTGGATAAAACCCTTCCCTACAAGTCATCTATCTTTTGGCAGGCCCAGCACAGTGCCATAACAGGAATATTTGATACAGAGCTCTCAAACATGGAAATATATTGTTTCACATTCCAAATTTGCAATTTCCTGGCCTAATTTAAAACATCAACAAAATGCAAACAAAAGCATTACCATTCTAGATAAACTTTGTCGCTGCCGTCAACATATGTCTGGCATTTAAGAAGTTGGTTAGGTGGTTACGTGACTACCTTTACAAGCCCAATAAGATTGAATTTTATTACGATTGTACACGATTAGACAGGTTTTTAGCATGCTTATGCTTAAAATGTCAATAAGACGTATGACAGTGAATATCAATAATGGGTTGCCTATACGACTAATTGCTAATATTCAATATCATATAATGAAAGTTTTAACGAAATCTATCACAAAGAAGACTCGGGTTACAGCTAAGCTGATCCATTTACCAGACTTTCAAAGCGTCATATTAGAGCCTTTTTCATTATGCAACATCTCGCATCTTCAGGACTGGAAAGTCATTGGAACAATAACTTTTCTTTGAAATTAAAATTTAATCTAAAATCGTATGCAAAGCTTCTTTCAGATAAGAAATTAGTTCAATTTTTAATGAATCTAAACACAGTATAATTTCCAAGATGGTCAAGTTACAAGAGGCCATGAAAACCTGCTTCGAACTCTTATAATTTACAAAATATGACTGGCTAGAGCTCTTTCGGATATAAAATAATACCTGCAGTAAAAGAAAATAAAGAAAAACATAAGAAAAACTAGAGAAGTGAAAGGGTTGATTTAATTTATGTTCTTAGCTTTGATAGTAAAAAAATACAGAGAATGTAGCTAAATACTCATATCTCAATACCAATGAGCTCTGTCTAGAAAACTGAAGATGTGGCTTGACATTTCAGTATTGATGACTCTATCAATCGGTTGAACAGCTACTTAAAGCATAGAATCTGAGATTCAGAAACGAAAGGGCACCCTTAGGTTTTGAGCAGATCAACATGTCTTTACAAACTTGCTAAGATATCTGCCCTCACTCACCTTTTGGCTATTTCTCTGACCATGTCATCGTTTGCTCGTGCGAATTCAATCAGATCACTGTGGAGATAAACCAGACAAACAATAATCATAAACAAATTTTCAGCAAATAGAAAAAGAGTAGGTATGTTTTCTCTAGGTGTAAGATCTACAGATAACACTGCTGGTTTTCATTCTTGAAATACAGTATAAAATAAAGAATAGATTTTTAACTCAGCCTGTTAAGGTTTTGATGGCATGGTCTCAAAATCAGGGTGTATGCAGGGGTGGACACTTAATCAAATATTGAGGGGGCAAGCCTATTGTTTTAATAAGATGACGTCACATTTTCCATTGTTTTAGAACAAAAGATCATTGTCCTCTAAAAAATTGGGGGGCGGTCGCCCCCCCTCGCCCCCCCCCAAGTGTCTGCCACTGGGTGTATGTTCCTAATATAGGGTCTAAAGCAACCCCCCAAAAATACTCAAATTTGTAAAGAAATGTAACAAGTAACGTAGAGATTGTTATATAAAATACTGTCTTTTCGTCCCTATGGTTCTACTTTATTACACACAATATACGCGTGTGTATATAAGCTACAAAAAGTTCAACAACGTTTTGATTGAGCTTCCTCCTTCATTATTTACAAAAAAGATTACAGATCAAATCGCACAAAATAATGAGTAGATGAAACTTAGTCACCCCTTATAAAAGGGGGATTAGAAATTGTTGTCATAATGACGATTTCTTAGAAAGATGAAAAGGAACATTCCAACTCTTCACAAAAGGTTGCAAAAGTAAGATTTAGAAATTACAATGACGAAAGCGTGGAGATTCCAAAGTCTTTAGAAGCCACAGAGGCCAAAGAATCAGACACTGACTGTGATGAGGAAGGGAAAAGTGACGATGTTTTTTAATTTTTGCTAATTATGCATCGTGAGAAATCGCCACTCTCTGTCCTTGTCTTGAATATTTGGTAGTAACGACGTTTTTATAGGTCACTGTGAAATTTAATCCGCCTTGGATTAAGATTCTTTTTCTTTCACGGCTGAATCACACACGCGGTCTATTTTGTGTAATAACATATTTATCATCTCTGGTTCATCCGAGTAACTAGACCTTTTAAAAACGTTTTGTTTAGGAATTTCTTATCTTCCCTTCAATTCCCCCATATCTACATTATCATGGACTTATCACAGTTCGATATGCAATGTTTTGCTGTTCTTATGACTAGAGTTAAAAGAGAACATCAGGCTGTATATTTTTAAGTAATGGAATGCAATAAAATAGCAAAATTACAAAGATGGCCCAAAAGAATACGAGCGGAAAAAATAATTGGATCTGTTGACTTTAGTCATAAGCAGCAATTTCTATATGCAATGAATGATTTATTCAAGGTTGTTTGTAAGGTAATTGACGTAATTATCATAAAGGAAAAGGAGCTACTTACTCATCCAGGGATCTACAGCTGTAGCTACGATTTCCTGCATTGTATTTGTTTAAAAAAATAAAAATAGCTGGGAAAATCGACAACTAATACCTGACATTTGAGAGATCTGTGTCTACAGGAATAAAATGAACCCAAGGCTTCATGGCGGGGTAGAAGAACTCTTTCCATTCATCACCAACGTGGAAGACGACCGAATCACATAAAAACAAATGCTTGAATCGAAAACTAGCTGCTACCCCACGAAAGTTGAAGAGATACCTAGATAAAAGAATACTCGTTTAATTACTTGAAAACTTTACAAGCTGGTTGTTCCCAGTTTGTTTCAGAGGAAGTTGAAGAAGACCAACTCCAAGTAAGTCAAAGGTTGTAATTAATGATAGGGGAAGTTAAGTTCCAGGTATTTGCCCATCTAAAAAATAGGTCTGTCTAACATAGAAGGAATAAATATGCGAGGCATTTGATTTTTTCGTAGGATATGTAAGAGAGAGGCCCAATCTAGCTATTGCAATGCTCAAAGAGAAGGAGGGAAATGCTAAAAATTGAGGGAATGCTGAGATCAAGTTTGTTTAAAGTAGTTGTGAAAGAAGACAGGTAATTAAAGTCTGGAACGCATAAAGATGGTTTTCCTTTGTATGCATACTTCGGGAAGGAAAGATAAGCTGTGGAACCGAGTATGTGAATTTGGCAAGGAGACTCAAATAAGGGAAGCACGGGCGTATTTATCTTCTAATAGTCAAAAGGCTATGCATAAACCTTCTGTAGGAAAATCTTTAACAAGTTTTTGCGTTAAGTTTGTCGCATTTGCTAAGGCCTCGGTTTTCGTGCGAATTACGTAAATATTACATAAAATGACAATTACTTGTATTTGCAGTGTTCTTCAAGAGGAATCTCCTTCGCAGGGGGTTCATATAACGTGTCCTAAAAGATTGAAAAAGACATCCAACTAAACAAGTACTTTTGTAATATTATTTGTAAAATTACGTTTGTACTAACAAGTAATATTATTTTCGCAAGGAGTAAGCTCTGCTTTATTTAATCAATTTATATCTTCGGATCTTGTTATCAAGACTTTTTTCGAAGTACAGTCAACTCTTGTCATTACGGACATCATTTGGACCAAAAGATTGCGTCCACAATAAATAGAGTCCGTAATAGCGGGATGCGAAAAAAATCACAAAGTTAGTGGTTGAAAAGTTTTTTTAAATTTGGCAATAAACAGCAATCATACAATTATATTAAAAGATTTGAAGTTCTGTAGTTTGTAGTTTTATTGTGGCAAGAAAGCGTCGTCTGATGTGATTGTTTTTTAAGTGCATGTGCTGCATTACTTAAGCTTGCAAAATCACTCGCTATCGTAACAAGATCATCATCATCATCATCATCATCATCATCACCTCGTGCCCATATGTCGCTAGGGAATCTACGAGTTCCTTTTCATTGTCGACGCAGTAACAAATAGGAAGCTCATTATCTGATAGCATTTATGTATCTGCGTTGATGGCGGTTCCTAGGGAAACTTCTTTAATAAAATTTTCAAGATCTTCATCGAAGTCGCTGAAGGGGTCTAATCTTTCTCCTATTGTCCTCCTATTGCTAGAAATTCCCCCAGAGTTGAAACACTTACATGTGGTTTTCACCTTAACCTTATATTGTCCGTGTTTCTTTAATAACGAGAGTCCGTTATAGCGGGAGCTAAATTCGGTCATTTCTTTATTTTTTCAGTTGGGGATTTAGTTATGTCCGTAATAGAAGGGTGTCCGTTATATCGGGGTGTCTGTAAGGCAAGAGTTGACTGTAAACGCCAAAAAATTATCGAAAGATAATAATACCTTAATGTCAAAATTCAGCTATCAGCATCAAAATCATTGAATTAAAACTACTATCAATGACTTCAGACTAGCGCAATACATTTGAATGATAAATTAATAACTCTGCTTAATTCAGTTTGAATTAATCTCTAAGATTTTGAGAGCCTCTTATTGCGTATGAAATCAACTTTTTAGATACATACGTCAGACAATAAAGCATTACAGAAGCCATGTCCAAAAACTCTTATAAATTTGTTTCAGGTGCAGTTATATTGTTCCATGTTATCGAGTTTTACTAAAATAATATTATGGCAAATTTCTCTTTACACTGAAAACGATCCAATTGTATGGGAAATACTCAAAGAGCAATCCCATAAAAAATTAGTTAAGATGCAGTAATGATGTTCAAAGTTTTGAGTTGTACCAAACTACAAATGTGGCGAAAACTTCTCGACACTGAACTGAAACTTTGGCTTTCATCAAATAGTCCAGAAAATGAGGAAGTCCCCCCTTCTCACAAATTCAATTTTTGTATCGTATACTAGCTATGACTCGAATCTGCAATGCAATTTCAAAAGAATTGACCAAAGAATCCGCTTAAATAAAGCTCACAACATAAGCAGTAGCTGTTGTTGGAAAACCTCCATTGAAAATAGCCTTGTGCGTTTCAGATTCTAAGATATTGAAAATTAAACGTTGAGAGATGATAGGGGAGAGATATTCTCGATAGTGTACATTCAATGTTGCAACTGTAGGTTTGCTAAATCTTACAAACGCTCAATTACTTGAAACGATACTGTATGGTGATGAAAGGTTGTCCGTTGATTCCAATTTAGAAATGCTTAAAGCGGCCTTATGCAACAAAGCATTTTGAATAAAATGGTGCTATTCAGACTAAGTTAACAACCCCCCGTTAAGGCCATTAACAAAGAAAGCCACTACTGCAAAAATTGAAAATTGTCACATGGTTTATGAGATGGGATTCAATGCGTTTTTCTTCATATGGTTTAGTATGGTAATAGAGAAGTGGAAAATACTGATCAGTTATTATGGTCATAGTAAAAAGATAAGCAGAATTACAGAAACTTACTGCATCAGATTTCCAGGCTTGGTTCTTCGTATACTGTGCGTCGGCAAGGTCAGGGTGTTTTCTCGACAATATAATCAGCGGATCTCTTTCGCTACTTGTTCTGCAGGAAAAAAACATACAACACTCCCTTAGAGATAGAAGCTTTAGTACGGTGCTTTGCCTCCAAAAAGTTTAGCGCGGCATCATTTTAGAATAAGATCTAAATAAGAATAGAATTAGATAAAAGCAGAGCTGAATGAATTTGCACTGAAAAGCTTTTGGCTGTATTTACTGTCCAAAAACTGAATAATTTGACGCGAATCAAAAAAAGGCAGTAGACAACAAGAGCATATGTCTATTTTCGTTACTATTTCGTCCCTGATCTTCCTAAAGATCCCTAATTAGCAAACAATTCCTACATTATGTGCGGTAATAATCGAACTTTATCCTTCGCCTGATCATTTGATATTTTTAAGCCTACATAGTAGCAACTGCTCTTGACGAGGATCAGAAAGCCCACCTGCATCCGAGATGCAAATTAGAAAAGAAGGAGCTAACATTGAATCATACAGATCGGCCCCTAGTAGAAATTTTTCGTAAGAATTCATCTTATAATATGGACTACAGCTAACAAGTAAACAATGATTCGGGTTACCTTGAGCCTCTAAAAAATGCCTTGTTTTCCTTTTTCTCCCAAGGCCATTCTCTGGCAGCTCTAAAATGAATAACTTTGCATTAGCAATGGGCATCCTTCAAGTCACGATATAACAACAATAGCATTTATATGAAACAATTTGTAAATAATGATGATTGCAAATGGAACATGACAGCCTATCAATGACAAAACACGAATTAATTATAAACATCTGACATAGTCTTCGTCCAGTCAAAGGGGATGTGGGAGAAGGAACGGAGACAAAAATTTCCTGGCTTTTTCCTGTCAATTTTTTTGCATTATGCTGGATGAATTATGAATTATGTACAATAAACTTTATCTAATTTAGTATAATTTTTCAATGAACAATCTTACAAGTGGTTAGATATAATATTTGATTTCTGTCTTTTGTCCGTCAGGTAAGTAAACATTACTACGTTATTTTTGGCAAAAAAACATCGCCTTTAAAGTGGATGTGACGATTTCCCCCTCAACAAAACTAAAGCCATAACGTACTTGCTTCGAGTGCTTAATAATCTAAAGGGTGTTCCAAGTAAAATTTGTTCCAAATTTCAGCATACTGCAATTTTCAGCATCTGCCAAAGACTATTGATTAAGTCTCACAGCTCAATATTATTATCAAAAAAGCAAAACAGGCATTTAACTGCAGGAAATCTTACTGAGAGATTTTATCAATCTGAATGTCCCATCTTCCTAAGCCTGTTGGATAAATAGGCCAGACTGCAGGCCCACCTTCCCAGAAGGTCCATGCTGGATACATAATGTCACGCTCATTTGGTGTCTACAAGCAAAAGCACAACTTCAAGAGCACAACTTTAAGAAAACACTACAAGTAAAGATTAGAACTTTTTAAAAATACTTGTGGACAAAAATTGTTCTTGATGATCTGCAAAAAGGTTCACAATGTTACCTATTTTTGCAAGGTCCACATAATCCAATTTTTTAATGATATCAAGAAAGAAATTTTCAGCACTCTCTACTACAAACATGCAAAGAAAAATGTTTAAACCAGTCAGCAGTAAAGAGATGTTACCAATTTCTAAGTCATATTTTGCAAACCTCTTTGACTCCAAATACATCAAGCTTCTAACATATTTCACACTTTTTAAAAAAATTGCAAATCCGCATAAACATTATAGTTGTTATTGGCTTATATGGAATTTGATGTCCAAATAACCTGCTATAAAACTTGGATATATGCTGCAAATTGTTCCCCAATAAAAGGGCGGGCAACTTATGGGCAGAGTGCTACAGTCCCGAAGGCAATTTAAGCAACGTTGAAACTGAGCCAGTCATTTAAATGTATATACAAAATGGATTTTTTTGTTTTTGACATACACTATTGTATTACATAAAAATAAAGAAAGCACATCTTTTAGTATCTGAAAATGAGGTCTGTAAGAAAAATATTGCACCTATCTTTGTTTAAATAATTTTGGAATTTGCTTACAAGGTAGGTTTGTGAAATACAATTACGAGTAGAGAGTGTGGGAAAAAAACCGACCCGAGCGAGGCTCTTGACTTTGTATGTCAAGTGCTCTACCGCTGAGCTATCGGGTTGTGCTTTCAAGCCACACTTTGAAATACAATTAAGAGAAAATTAAAAAGACAATTGGTACCTTTCATTCTTGAGACTCTATATGAAAGGTTGAATAGTCATCTGATGCATTTAGAACTTACATTGCATGAGACTTCAGAGCCAGAGACATGAAACACACAAATAATCTTCAAATATCAGAACTAGAAATGTTTAAGTTCTCTTAAAACACCATACCTTGCTAAAGGACAACACTGGCATTGTTTCGTCAAAGTAGGGGACCTAGAAAAAGATTAAAGTTGAAATCAATAGTATTATATTTAAAATATGACTCTATGTAATGAATGTGATATGCCTAATTTATCGTTATGTCACATGTACTGAAAGAAATCAAGGCAAAACAATTTTTTATATGCATCTAAAATGTTGATACCTTTGGCCAATCATGTGAATTTATTACCAACTCCATATCTGGTAGTTTTTTAATCACTTTCAGGATGAAGTGTTCATTGCCACTGCACCTGCAAAAAGGAGGCACTGCATAGAAAACAGAAAAAATTATTTTCAGCATATGTAACAATAGATTTTGGCTTTAAAAAATGGTTCCAATTTAATTACCACAATGTTTACAATGCTGTCCCCTTTAAACCTGATGTGCAATACTTTTGCTCACCAAGTGAAAAACTCAATAAGGTTATCAAAAGCATTGAGTCAAGGTAGATAGGCCTCCTCTCTTGAAAGAAGCTGTTTTGAAAATCAGAATGAGATGTAACTCGCAATAACTCAAACCTCCCAAGGGACCAATGAATTTGTTCTTGATAGAGAATTTTCGAGCTATCAGGAACATTATTATATGACTGTATTGGGCAAGGGGAATATAAGTTTGACTTAATGAATGTTTGAGTTACCAGGAGTTCAAGTTATCTGGAGTTTACTGTATATATTTTCAGTGTGCTGTGTTTTAAGTGTTGTAATGGGTGTGTATCGGGAACTAGCCTTTATCAGAATGTTCATGTAGTGTCAGTCCGGCCTAAAGCATTACAGCATGAACATCACGGCTTGGTATATTTGGGAATTAGCCTCTTGAAAGGAGCCCTAATCATCATGATTCCATGCCTTTAAGCTTAAGTATAGCTTGCTGATACAGTCAGCCCTTGCTTGGGTTGTTATTTATTATACAGAAACAAGCTGGTGCAGGTGGCACTATTTCAGGTGCAGACATGAGTAAGAAGCAAATTGAAAAAAACCATTCTCAGTATACAAGTGAAGCTTAGAATAAGCAACTTTGCTAAAACCACGTGCATTCTTTTCAATCCCACCTGATGTGGACATGAGAAAAATATGATAATAATTTCATGGCCAATGATAGTCTGTTCTATTTGATCTGGTCCAGATCCATTTTACGCGACTCAATTTTCTGTGTTATCAAACAAAAACTGAAACTGGATTCAACTGTATCATTGGCTGTCATCTGAGCTAATAAACCTAGTTTCGTGAAGCAGAGGCCAAAAAACAGGCCTGAAACGAGTCTGCTCATTAAGTTAGCTTTCATAATATGACTCCAAGGAACTTCTGCAAGTTTCACAGGTTGATATTGTGAAAAGACTGTGAGAAAGATCAAAATGTCCTAATATTGCGAGTTAGGAGTGTGTGTAGATATGGGACAGCTATAATTACACAAAAAACAATTGCAGCAGAAGATTAAGTTTTTATCCAGCTAAAATGAGCAAAAATGCTTTCCATTTGCCTTTTGTTTCCAATAGGCTTTTAATATTCAAAGATACAGATTGTGCAAAACTCTATAATGACGACATGTTTCGGATAATTGGCAGAGCCCGGTCGTCCTTCCATCTAGCAGTTTTGGAGTCAATCTACATAAAAACGAAAAAGCCGCCATTGTGTAGACAAAAGGAGTTCGTTTTCTCTCTTGGACTCCATTGGTAATTTTTCTTTAGGCTCGCGGCTCTGATTGGTCAACTATACCGGTCTTGTGCTTGCGTTTTTCTGATTGGCCTATTTCGATCCACAACTGGGTATATATTTTTCCATCGTGTTTTTTCGGAACCTATTCTGACGTTTTATGCTCTGAGGAGTGTCAGACGAAAAAAGCTTTTTAGTATGTTTGGTAAATGTTTAAGCTTTTTTCAAAAGCATTTTCAATTCTGTACCGCAAAAAATTGGTTTGCATAATTGTAAATGAGCAGAAAGATGAAAAATGAAAAACAATTTGTGAATTACTACATACCTGAAGAAAATATGCAACTTCTTCTTGTCTTGTACAAATCTATGATTGATTATTTGATAATGTTCAGCAAGTTTCTTTTTATTGCTTTGTCAAGAGTCAGATATTTTCTCATGTCAAGCCTTTATCTTTCCCATAATTTTAAAATCTGATCAATTTAGTTCTATAACAACCAATTCTTACATTAGGTACAATCTTTAATCCTGCTGCAAACTGCTTTTTTCCTATTTTTGGCAATATACTGCTTTCCCATGATATCTAAAAATATGAAAAGTTAATGGTGTTATAAAGGTTGGAAAAAAAGACATAAACAAGTCGAGACACAATGAAAGGACATTCATTGTAAATTGAAAGAGAAGCCTAACAAGAAAAACTTGCTTTACAGAATTTTTTACTTAGAGTTTTTAGAAATATTAATAGCTATGAAACATAATGCAAACTTTAATTGGCACCGATTACAGTGAGCTTTGAGTATGAGGCCTTCTCTAAAAAGTCGTGCTATTTTTGGGCCTAAGATAAGCGTGTGAGCAGCAGCATAGCATAGAGCAAGACATTTAATAATAATAAGAAAAGACGAGCTGGCTTTGGAAAATTGAAGAAATTTAAACTTCCATCTTGTTTCCTTTTTGATTTTTTGCTAAGGACATTATCCTTTCTTCGAGAAACAGCGAGAAACTAAAGCATTAAAACAAAAGCAACACTAACAGACGGAGCCAACCATCTTTATTAAGAAGCCGCCTCCAACAAAATCTAGACTCTTCGAAAATCACGCGATTCTGCGAACTTGAATAAGAGGCATCACTTTTCCCAAAAATTTGCTCGCATCAAAAACTTGACTGTGCTTCAAAATGATGCGAAAAACATTGTACAAGTATTTTATGGCTAAATTGACGCTTGATTGTGAATAGGTTTTTTATATTTAGAAACGAATAAATGTGAGTAGTGTTTAATCTGTAGGTTACATCAAAGGGGTGGATCCAGAGCACAATTGGGAAGGAGGAGCGTTTGTAGTGTGGGGGTGCTTTTGAAATTTTTCAAGAATTTGGTGGCGATTTTTCAAAGTGATTGTTATATACTTTGAGGTAATCCTTGAAGTAAATTGACGTATAAATCTCAGAATTTTTCACCTGATCTCATTCTCAAAAGGGCGCACAATTTCAAAAAGGGTGGGGGGTGGTGTTTGGGTTTTTCAGATCCAAAAATGGAGGGGCAAACTGCCCCTAGTTTCCCTTAATTCGCCACTGGTTTACATTAATCTTCGTAATGTTAGGG